AAGAAAGCTTCCCAGCCCTCGGGAAGGCAGTGGCTTGTAAAGTTAACCCGGTCCCCAAAGTGTTGTCTGAATGCGTCAGCAATCTATCTCTAAATGCTGGATTCCAATTTGAGACAGGAAGGTGAGGTTCGTGCATACAGACATGTAGCCCAACAGTGTCTCAAATTAGCCCTATAAGAAGGGGGGTGAATCAGAGGGGCCGAAGTCCTTTTGTGCCAGTAAAGTGTGAACAATGACCTATTCAAAACATTGTGTATGTCACCTGCCACCACCATCACCACCCACTTCAGGAGCTGACTGTTGGATATTAGGTGCAGGACTTTTCTAGGGACAGAGTTGGGAATGATAAATGCAATACAGCCCTGCCAACCAATAATCCAATTTTACTTTACTTTTCCATACCCCCTCCTTTTCAAAACTAAGACAATTGGTGCTGATTTCCAGCTAATCAGCATCCATGTGCCACCTTCCTCCCACCCAAGGACCCTGAGGTATTAGATTAAAATGCACTTGATTTTGGAATCCAGTGGACATCTGTAGGCAGACTATAGTGTGTGCAGGTGGGAGTAGTGCACTGGGAAGCAGGAGGTCCAGCCTGGCTTCACCAACTGGTTATTATTTTAATGTCTCCTGAGATGATAATCCCTCCTTTTGGCCAGGTCTGCTGTGAGGATCAAACAGAATCATGCAAGTAAAAACCTTTAAAAACTGCAGGATATTTATTTTGCTTTTAAATACTATTCTCTTAGGCTACTATGTCTTTGTGGGAGGGATGTTGGGGAGCCCCCAGTTCTGGTCATTTAGGCAGAATAAACAGAGGAGGGGGCACATCTCTGAGCAGAACCTCTGGGATTGGGGCTATTAAGAGGTTCTTTGCTAAGGAACTCTCTCTCCCAAATGCTTTATGAATCTAAACTGGAGTGAGAGGTAGAAAAAAGCAATGCAGGGATATTTTGAAGAAAGCAAGTCTTTTGCAGTTGGAACCCATCTGGCAAAGGTGGTCAGAGGGGGGGAAAACCAGAGGATTGACTGTACAACGTTGAGTTTTTTAGTATGTTGAAAATCATTTAACATACCCCACTCCAAAACTATTTTAATGATTAAGGTGAGGCCCAGACAAGTAGCTCAACAGTAGTGAGTGGTGGTCTCTGCTCAACTTCTACGGTGCAGCAGAGGAAACAATGACTAGTAAAGGTCAAGAATGTGAATTCTCGGATCTGAACCAACTTTGGGAAAGTTGCTTAGCCTCTCTGTGCTTGTTTCCTCAGTTGTAAAGTTAGATTAATAGTAGAATCTACTTCATGAAGTTATGAGATTAAATTCAGTAACTAAAGCTTTTGCTTATCAAAATATCTGGCATAGTTAGTACTCAATAAATGGTGTTCCTCTTTCTAGTCTCTGGACTTCATTTTCCTTAGTTATAAATTGAAAATATTAGATCAATATCTAATAATGGAGTGCATGAAAATCACATGGGGGCTTTTTTCAAATAATACATATTAACTGACTTATCTTTCTTAGCAATGGTTTTCAAATATTATGTTGCATGAGAATGACCAGGGATAGCTTGTCAAAATGCAGATTCCTGGGTACTAGTGACTGACTCAGTGGGGCTGGAGTTGGCTCTGGGAATCCAAGTTTTAACAGGATACTGTTGCAAATGGTCCATAGAGTCTGTGTATGTGCATGTGTAAGATTCTCTGTTCCTGGAGGGCATGATACTAGATGACATATCTCACTTGTTGGGAACCAGTGGACCACATACCTGTTTGTTTCTGGCTTGGACATTTTATGATTCTCGGGGGTAATTCTCCTCATCCTAAGCTCCGCCTAATACTGCTCTGCTCCACCTTCATCCAACTTTAAGTCCTGGCTTAAAATTTATCCCCCAATATATCTTCCCCTCTCTCCTTTAATCCTCACAATAATCCCAAGTAGCAGCAGCTGTGGTATACAAGTCATCATTTCACCTTTTGGGACCTTGCTAAAGGCAGCAGCCTATGATTGCCATGAGAGCACGAGTCCTGAACTGCAGAGCCACTGCATTCCATTCTGAACTGCTTATTTCTAGAGAAGCCAAGGATCTGAATTTTTGTGTGAAATTCCTAAAATTTTAAATACTATAAATCCAATCTTTTCTGAAATTCTACAAACCAAATCAAACAGGTCTATAGGAATTATTCAGTCCATTTCAGCAACTCCTCCTATTGCCAACGGATCCCTTTAAAACACCAAGAGCAAGGCAGAGGTGGGCTGTAACAAGGGAGGTCTTTCTCCCCACTCCCACTTTCTGCTATAAAGGTCTTAAACCCAGTAAACTAGGTCTATCTGGCGGGAGAAGCGGGTTGGGGTAACGCCAGCTTTTTGTCCTTTTAATCTTGAACAGCTGCTATCTATAGTGAAGAACTCAGAATTTTGGGTAATTTAAGGAATATTAGTCTGGTTGTCTCATGATGGGCTGGAGTATTTGTGCTGCATCCCCTAATCCTAATTCCTGATCCATTACTAAAGTCCCTGAGAGTAACCATGTTTGAGAGTGATAGGGTCTGTTGTGATCTCCCAGAAAAGGAACAAGCTGGTGAGCCTGCAGAGACAGGGCTGAAGTCAGAGTAGTTCTGGCAGAGCACGGAGGCACTGAAGTAGAAGAAATGGCTAAAGTGAGCAGTCTTTAGAATGCCTAGAACCAACTGCACTTCCAAACCAGAAGGGCTGCTTAGGCCTTGGCTATAATCACTAAAGTAACATCTATCTCAGAAACTTCGCAAATGGGGGCAAGTTTGGAAGAGTTTCTTTGGTGTTGTCTTTGGCCTTCAAGGTTTTAGCACCATCCCACCCTTTACAGTTCAGAGGGGCTAAGGCAGTTATGGAGGAGAAAGCACGAGAAGCCAGGGTTTGACATAAGGCCAGCACACAACTCTAAGGGATCACAATGGAGGAAGCCTCAACTCAGTGTGGCCTACGCAGTCTTGCCAGATGATCTCCTCCCAGAACTTCTCAGATATAAATTCTTCCCCGATCAGCCACCGAGGTCTCCTTTATTTCTGCTTGGGGCTTAAGACTTCCACCAAAAATGTGTAAGCATATATGTACACATACATCAACTTCTCTTGGGGGCTTATAACTGGAACATCTCCCTGCCTCGTGCTGCCCTGGAGGCTGTGTCGATGGCAGACTTCTGGTATAAAATGCTGTGGGTTTTTTTTTTCTGTATAAATAAAAAGATGCTCAAAATCCAAAGCACTAATTTATTGTGTGGCAGTCACAGTGGTACCAGCACCTGCTTTTCCCATGTCACCCTCCACGCACCCAGGGCTGCACTGGCCTTTTTCATGTTTGAGTGTAGATGCCAAGATCAAAATCCATTAAGGCCTCCTGTTTCCCATTTTCTTGAGTGCAGAGCTGGGCTTATATAATTTGGGTTTTAAGAATTGTTATTTGTCTAATTAGTGATGCTGAGGAGCCCTAATAGCAGAAGATGTCCAAGGGTAGGGAAAAGGGGAGGGCGAGGATCATAGAGGCTAACCCAGTCATGTGTCCTCACTGGAGTGAGAAGGGGATGTAGGAGCGGGGGCATTGTTGATCTTTTACTCTACAAACTGGTCCAAGAATTTGAGGTAGGCCTGACGCTGCGGTGCAGCTGCTGGAATGAAGTGGCCACCGGAGTGGGTGAGAGTGATGGCTCCAGTGAATCGGCTAGCCAGTTGCACACTTTCCTGAGAGGGGATGACACGGTCAGTGTCCCCGAAAACATGGAGTGAAGGTAGTGAAAAGGGGCCCTGCAAGATGGATTCCCAAAGACCAAGGCCCCGAGGACAGAAACCAGATATCAGGATGATAAATCTTGGCAAGGGAAAACGGGGGTCACCAGCTTGACCAAGGGCACACACAAGGGCTGCTAGCGCAGCTCCCTGGCTGAAACCAAGCAGTCCACTGAAAGGTCCCGACTCGTTCAGTGCCCGTGCCACCGTTCCCAGGGCTTCCTCCAGACCCCTGCACACTGTGGACTCTTTCAGTGCGGAGAAAACGTCTGCCTCCTGTTCTGAAAACCACCAGCCTCGAAGCTGCTCCTCTGGAGTGAAGAGCCCTACAGCGATATGGAGGAGAGGATGAGGTTAGGGCATGGGGGAATCCAAGGGAAAAGTAATGGGAAAGGGAGGGGGGAGGGTTTGGGAATGACAGGGAGAGACAGCTGAGGGATGAGAGAAGGCGGTGTGGGGAAAATGAGGTGGGGAACAGAGTGGCTTGGAGAGGGGAAAGACAGATCAAGGTGGAAGCCTGGGAGGCTGCGATGGAAAAAATGAAGGCTATGGGCAAATGAAGTGGGAGGAATGAAGGATGATACAAGGTTTGGGGTATGCTGACGGGTGTTATGAGGACGAGAAATAGAGACTTGGAGCGCATTTCCGGTCAGAGCTCGTCTCACCAGACTCCGGCCCGACACCCTCCGTGCCCGCTTTGTCCACGACCGGGTGCGGGCCGCTGACGCACACAAGCTCGGCGCGGCCCCGCAGAGCCTTCCTCAGCGCTCCTGTCTTCTCGCGGAAGCCCCGCTCGCTCTGCCGGAAGCCCGCCAAGCACAACACCCGAAGAGGCCGCTTCGCCGCCATTCCGCAGGGCAGCGCGACTTAGGCACCGGAAATGGCCCTTCCCCCAGTGGAAGTTGGATTACGTGAGGGGCGGAACCAAACACCGGCACCACCCTGAAGGCGGGCCTCAGAGCAAGCGGGCGTGCCCATGACAACGCGGAGGGGTGAAGCGCGGCCAGAGCTGGACGTATACCTGAAACCCAGGAGCGTCTCATGAAACGAGGGGCGCCGCCTTCTCGTTTCTGCAGCTGCAACCCTCGCAAGTCGCGGCTGGAGAGGGACGCGAAGACCCCTCCTGCACCTGAAGTCGCACATTTTGGTCAGGGTCTCTCTTCTACATCCTCCACCCCTTTCCCGTGTTTCTCCCATTGCAGCCGCAAGGCGGCGGCCTCGGCTCGCGTCGCTAGGGAGCGAAAAGTGCCAAGGCCGCGACCAGGAGCGGTCACTCCTGTCTCCTTGCAGTCCCTGCCTACCTTCCCCGCAGGCCCGCCTAGGGCGGGCCGGTCCCGTCCGTGGTTCACTGTCCATGGCCCCAAGGAGCTTCCGGCGTAAAAGTCCATGGGGTAGGGCTGTTGCCAGGAAATGTCCCTCAGGGCCACTGCTGCCTAGGGGAGGAAAACCAGTCAATAACATTCGCCAAAATTTTTCTGCACAGGATTATTTACCCAGTCCTCACAATGGCCTACGAAGGTTTTATTATCCCTATACCACAGGAAATGTGAGGTTCAGAGAGGTTAAGAGACTTGCCCAAGGTCACCCAGCAATGAAGTGGCTCAGCTGAAACTAAGTGTTGCCCACCCATCCCCACTCCCCTTCAGATTCCTCCCTTAAGAGAATCAAGTACAAAGCCTACTCTCTCCCAGGGATTTTCACATCTTGCTGTTACCTCATAGGGTGTCAGCAGCGGCTTGGGGAAGGCTGTGCCCCAGTCAATGGAAAGGCGTGGACATGCCACTTGCACCCACCTAAGAAGAGAAGTCAAGTCAGACCCAAGGAAAGGTCCCTCCCCCTCTCCTCGACAGCATGCTGAAGAATATGACTATGTCCCCAATGAATGCTTACTATTAATTTTAAAGACTGTAATCTACTACTGTTTAGAATAACACTGTAGTGTTGCTTATCTTCTCCTGTTTCCTCCACTGACTACAAGCTTTCTGAGGGTAGGACCTGGGAAGCTCATTTGTGATGGTATAACAGAGTCAAATTTAGGGTTTGGTACAGTGCAGATGCCAACCATCCCTCAAACTTATCTCACACAGAACTATTAATGATGTTGCAGTTGCCTGTGAGCCCCCAAGGAAGACAGTAGGTATGACCCATAGCCAAGGGTAGCCCCTGTTGGAAGAGTGCTCTGTAAATGTTAAAATTTCATGATCATGGAAGCAATCCTCATTTATTCCAGTCTTCAGTATGTGCTGGGCAGAAATCAGAATCTAAGCCTCTTTAGCTAGAGTCATAGGTAGGCAGGCAAGGGAAAACGTACACATCCACCTGAGGAAGTAGGCTGAGCTTGCTGGGGAAGACCTCAGAGAGCAGCAGCCTCACAAAGGGAAGTCTCAAGGCTTGGAGCCGAGATTCCAGGTGCTGTTGGTAGAGGGAGACAGAGCTGGGGTCACCATTATCAAGTAGCCATGGCCAAATCCCTTAGCCTACTGATTTCTCAGTCAGTCCCCTCCTCCAGAGGCCATCCTGAGCCCTGACCTCCAGAATCTTGGGGCTGCCCTGACGGCCCAAAGTGCCCAGGATAAGGCCCCAGGATTTAGCTGAGCGGGCAGTGGTTATGGCTTCTTGGCGGTTGACCTGCATGCGCTGGTGGTCATAATGCTCTCTGGACAGGACTTTGCTGTATGGATCATATCTGGAAAAGAAGAAGCTGTCAGGGTCACCGTAACAGCCACTCATGAGACTTGTGCTGTATACAAGGCTCTCTGACTCAGCCCCTTGGTCTCCTGAACCCGCAGACTCTATGCAGGTAATTAGGAATAGAGGTAAGAACAGAGATTGTCATTGGGAAGATCAGTCCCACAGCTGAAGCAGGCAAGAGTAAGAGAGGATTTTAGGATCTTGGTGTGAATTCCAGGGGATGGGTGGGGTACTGTGCAGCAGTAGCCTTGGGTTTGATACCCGGATTCAGGACCCAAGTGCCTCAGATCTTTAAGGCTGGGGTCTGTTAAGGGAATGAGAAGATTTTGACCAATCGAGAGCCTCAGTGGCAGAGAATTCCACCCCCTCCCCAGTTGGTAAGCGCAGCTCAGCCCATACCGGTAAGCAGGGACATTGGGGTTGGCAATCATGACAGATTCCAGATGGAAGCGGCCATCTCCAAGATATCTGTAGTAGAGTAGAAATGGGTGGTGAGTGTGGGATGGGCAGAAGCAGGTACTGGCTTGGGGATACAAAGGACTGAGTTCTTAGCTGGCTGTGCTACTGACTGTGTGTATGAACTGGGACAGGTCATTCACCTCCCAAGGCCTTGGTTTTCTTCCATGTAGAATAAGGAGTTTGAATTGATGACCATAAAGTCCCTTTAGTTATATAATGTAGAATCTAAAAACACCCCCCACCCCCAGCCTTCTGGGAGAAGAATAAAGGGGCAGCTGAGGCAAGGCAAGGCTGCTCAGGGCTCTAGAGATCCTAACTTGGAGGTGGGGGACAGAATCTCCCTTACCAAGTTCAATACAGACATGGGAAGTAGTGTTCAGGATGTCATCTATGTTGTAAATGAGGTTTAAGGGTATACACTGGCTATTCTCTACACAAACTAGCTCTTCGGTCCAGTTGCTGAGTTGTAACAATAGCTACTGTTTATGGGACTTGTGCCTTCTGTGCACTGGGCCTGGACTAAGCACCTGGCATGTATGCCTTCACTCAGTCTTATCAAATAATCCTCCAAGCTATAGTGTCCCCATTTTAGAAGATACCACTGAGGTTCAGGGATATTAAGAAACTTTCCCAAGTCCACAGCTATTAAGCAGTATATCTGGGACTGGACTCTAGGCTTGATCTCCAGGCTGTACCCAGCATGTCCTAGAAGATGCTACCTATAACAGTACCTTCTCAGGTCATGGAGAGGCCAGAGCATGGAAAATAATCTGCCATGGCAGCTTCTTCTCTGGGAGACCACACTGAATTTTGATGAATGGCCAACACTCAGAGTATTCCTCCCTCCCACACACACCTTAGAGCCTCCAAGGGTAAGTATCTGAGTTCAAGTTATGTAGGCACAGGCACTGGGAATGTCCCTCAGGGAGCAGGGCTACCAGGTATGGGCTAGGGAAGGCCCTGATATGGTCTCATCTATGGGCAGGGGTGTCTGTGTGGGTGTAGCAAGGTCTGTAAAACCAGCAGCTGCAGCCCCAGAGGTAGGGCTGAGTCAGGGGACTGCCGCTCCCTCATTCCCTGTCATTAGCTGGGAATGGGGCTCCCCTCCTCAGCCCTAGCTGGGAGCTGTCGGCTTTGAGGCTGGCTGCATTCACACAACATTAAGCATTTCCATTACCTAAAATAATTAGGCAGCAGGAGACACGCTGCTCCTGCTTGTTAGCTGTCCGGATGCTAAATTAATGGGGCTACAGCCTGGGTGTGCCCATCCATCTTCTCCAATTATATTCCCACCATTTCCAGCCCACCTGCATGCCCCATCAGGCCTTCTGATTCCTGTCCCACCTTGGGCATAGCCTTCTGGATAGTGGACAGAGCACTGGAGAGGGAGACAGAAAACCTGAAACCCTATTTGGTCCCCATCTTGCAGAGTGACCTTGAGCAAATGGTTAAGGAGCTTTAGACTCCTAAGGTACATTTCTTACATCTCTATGACTGCCCCTCCTCCCATTTCACTTACACAACAGCGTCCACCTCTTTGGATAGGTAGGGAGATGTGCAGCCCAGAATCTCCCCAGGGGACAGGGGTTTGCACTGTGGGACACTCACACGATACTCAGCTTTCAGCTCCTGGGCAGCTGCCTGTAGGGGTAACGAGAAAGGAAACAAGAGGATGGAGAGGGGGAGCCAGAGCCAGAGGACCAGCCTGCAGCGCCTGGCAGTGGGATCCAGGAATAGCCTGGAGACTGGCTGCTGTCTGTCTACTTACCTGCAAGGTTGACACAAACTGAATGGTGCTGACCAGGGCAAGGGCACTGGCTGGGGGAAAGGTGAGGCGGATAGAGTCCAGTAGGTGGGTTGTGTCTATCCGGATGTCCACAAAGACATACAGCACCCGGAAGTCTTGGACCGAGGTGTCCATGGGAACTAGGAGGAGGGAAGCGTTCAGGCTTTGTTTGGAAGGCAAGAGGGGCAGAGAGCCTGGCCTGGGCCAGTGGCTTCAGACTGCAGGTAGAAGGGGGGTTGGGGTGGGTCACAGGTCCTTCAGAAGCTCCCTATCTGTCACTCAGCTGGGGCCCAGCCTACTCTACTACCAACAGCCTTTAAAACACCCTCATCTGGGACACCAGCATAGTTTCCAAGGCAACCAAATCCAAAGGAAAGATCCACCTGCAGAGCAGGAAGGCTGAGGCCATCCCAGAAACCAGGAGGGACCTCATGCCTGCAAGCAGGACAAGAAGGTGCTGTGAAGGAGATCAACGTACAGTCCTGCCTCCCTGGTCTACTATACCCAGGCAGCTGTGGCCATAGTGCACCAGGAAGTCAGCTCCCAGGGCCCTTGCAGTAAAGTCATCCACACAGCAAGCCCCATAGGTCACATCACCCATCACCATCACTTCAGCCTCTGTGAACCTGTGGGGATGGAAACAATAAGACGGTGAAACAAGGAATGAGGTGGGAGAGAGACCTAACACTGTGGAGGTATCTCAGGGCCCAGTTCCTCTCTCCCTATCTCTTCCAATCCCTTGGGTAGGCAGCTGCCATTTCTGCCAACAAAGAGTAGGAGGGGCCCAGCTGCCACCTCCCCCAGTCCTGGCAGCAGGTCCTGGAACTGTAGCTGTATGAGGATGGTCTCTGTAGCACTCTGATTCCTCTGCCCAGGCTCAGATTGCAAGAGGTACCCCCAACTCTCAAACTTGAGTACACAGGGTCAAACACAGACCTTTGATGCCCTAACTCATCCCACCCAGAGTGCTGAAGCAGTGAGCATGTACACATGTGCAAAGGCACCTGCGCCCATGCTCTGGTACCATGAGGTGTGTGGGCATGCATGTGTGGGTACATATAGCCTCCCTGACTCCCAAACTCCCTGCTACTTCCTCACCCTTAGTCAGGGCCCTTTGTGCCCAGGATTGAGGGACCCATGCACAGCTCTACACAGCACATGGCACCTCCCACGCACCTCATGCGTCAGGAAGAGTGGGCTCTGGCCAGCACAATGCCATGGGATCTGTTGCCAGGCCTGAATCATTGTGGAACGGGGGTGGGTGGGGAAGACCCTGCACCCGCTAAACTTACTACAGGAACAGAGCTGGAGGACCAGCTCTTCCCTGGGAGACCCACCCTTGGAGCATACATCCTGGCTCAGTTACTGGGGTCTCTCCATTCTTTTCCTGGAAGTGTGGTGGGGAAAGCTAAGCTGCTGCCAGTCAGCCCCGATCTCCACCCCTCCTTCCCCAAATCAGGCTGTGCACAGAAGCAGATTATTCAACTCCTTAGAATGCAGCCCAGGCATCTGAGTCAGCCTGAGCACTTAATTTTTTATAGATTAAAATGTATGCAAATTGGCCCAAGCCCCAGAGAGCATCCCCAAGGGTCGAGAGGGTGGGAGAGGGTGGGAGCAGAGAAGTGAGTCTGGTGGATGAGGAGCAGGGTGGGGGGAGGGCAGCGGCAAGGAAGTGGGAGGCTCCCATCACAGGATGACCTCCCCTTTTCCCATTCCCCCTCCCTGTTTCTGTGCCTGTTCCAGATGGCTGAGCACTCAACCCCCCTCTCAAAGATGGCACATTGTATTGAAGAAACTTAGAGGGGGTAGAGGAACTGAATACTGTCTCCTAGGCACTTCTCTCCCTGCCAAGCCCCTCCTTGTCCTACTCCCCCAGATGAGCCAGAGAAAATGGTTCCCCCTAGCCAGACCCCACACTGATTACTCCACCATTACAGGGTCAGCTCTGAGGATTCATAGGTTCCTCCTCAGACCCCACCACCTGCTCTAAATTTGGGGTTTTCTCCTTTGTGTATGGTTGTGGGAGGGGACAGGGTAAGGCACAGGTCCAAACGGACAAAATGATGCCAACAGGCAGAGCTATAATGGGCAAGGGGAAAGTCTTGACCCATCTCCCTTTCCAGTGCCCCAAGCCTCACCTTTCCAAGATATCCACAATGGTGCAGGCAAAGAGGAGGAGGCCTTCAGGCATTTGCAAGGCCACTGCAAGACAGAGCAAAGACATAAGAAAAGAGGGCTGGGGCAAGTCTGGAATGGGGACACTGCCACTAACTGGGCCAGATAACCTCTCCATCCCCACTTAGCTGAAATCTTGGGGGCTCACCCTTCTTGGCTTGGGCCTGTTGGATCCTCCATATGGTCTTGGGGATTTCAAAGTTATAGTTGGAAGGCAGGACTTGAATGGCTGCCTGCAGCTGGGGGTTGTTCAGGATCTCACTGGGGATCTGATTGGCCAAGCGGCCCCGAGGGGCTCGACCTAGGATGAATGTAAGGCCTGAGTCAGTACCTGTCTAAAACCACAGCCAGACTCAGTTGTTAACTCCACCCAAGTTTCAGGCCCATATCCCAGATCCCAGCCTTCTTCCCCAACTGAGTTCATCCTGAAGCTGGAAAGACAACTCATTAAGCCAGGAGAAAATCTGCATAATTAATTTCCATGTTGTGAAATTACTGAGAATCAAAGGTTTGAAAGACCATAAATGGAGAATCATTCACTCCCTTATCTAAGGAGAGCAGAGGTGACATCAGGCGACTGAACTGAAGCGCAAACAGGAAAAAAGTCCAGATAACTGCTCCTTGACAGAGCACAAGCCTGAGAAAAACCCAGGAGCCAAGCCAGCCCAAGCATTCTGGGAAAATGTCCCTCTTTTCCCCTGCATAAGAACACCTTGAAGTTGTGAGGTCCTAGATAAGAGATCTATATATAAACTGTTGTAAGTACTAATTTAATAGATGGCCTTCTGTACTTGAGTCCCACTGATTATGTCTACACTGCTTAATTCCTGCATTCTTCTCTTTCCTCATTTAAAAGAGAAGTAAACATCATACATTTAACTGACTTAACAAGTTCCCTAGTCCCATCGTTCCCTCAGGAAGAGTGGACAGAACACACTCTAGTCAGGACTGAGGGCAAACATGTAAGGATAGAAGTGACCATGCCCTTTAAAGGCTAGTAGTCTAGTGGGGGCAAATACAAATAGTTACAATCCCCGATTTAAAGATAAAACATTGTAGCCCTTTAGCAAAGCTGCAGCCCTCTGTCTGCATCCTGTTTGCCAAAATTCAGTTTAGCTCAACCCCCAGATATTTCTTTAGGAGCCAGTTTGAGAATGTGACAGGGCAAGAAATTAATTTATTCAACGAATATTTACTGAACCTGTACTATGTACCAAAACTTATACTAAGACTCCTTACTACTTAGGTAGGCTCTTTCCACACCTGATAGCGGGGAGGTGGGTAGGTGGTAGTGGTGATGGTGCAGTGGATAACTAGCATGGCAAGCTGAGACCCTGAGAACGGATTTGAATGCTCTGGTTTTGTTCAGTTGTTTCAAAGGCCTTGGAACAACCAGCCCAGTGTCCCTGGGCCCCCCACAGAAGCTCCTCTAACAGGCCCAAGTTAATGTGTAGGAGCGGCTAGTCTTAGAATCTCAATTTGTTCCAAGGGCCAGTAGGAGCCTCCTCCTTTATCACGTGGCTGTAATCTTCTGTTTCCGTCAGTATTCCAAAAAAGGCTGTGAGATCCCTGAAGGAAGGTCTGTAGTCCAGTCCCTGAACTTTGCAGAGGCCTGGTATTCAAAAGGTGTTCAGTAAGTGCCAGGTCAAAGAAACCACGTGCCTCTTTCCTGAAAGCATTTCTTGAGGGCCCATTTGTGGAATGACCTCTGCAACGCGCCAGGCTCCTTCCCTCCTGGTCAGGTCCACCTTTTTCGTGAGTCTTCAGGCGTCTGTCTGCCGGCCAAGGCAGGGGGCAGCGTTTCCGGCTTAAAGACTACAAGCTCCTTAGGGCTGCTCACGATCGCGCCCTCGGGCTACAAAAGACAGACCGGTACCCCTGGGTTCCGGTGACAGCCGCCCAGAGAGAGAGACGGCGGGACCTTCCAAGGCTGGAGGAGAATGGGGGCTGGTCCTGTCACTGACTTGGGGGTCCTACCCCGAAATGCGAGATCGCACCGTTGTAGAACCCACCTCTGCCAGGGCCGTTCCGGCCGCCTGGCTCCGCCGCTTCGGATGCAACGAGCGCCGCCATCGCGGCTCTGCCCATGTGGGGACCCAAAAGACAGTGCTAGAAGAACCCGGAGAGCACAGACATTGCAATCGATCGCTGATCAACCAACCAGAGAGGGGCGGGGATTTGCTGGACGGAGACCGTAAAAGAGAAGATAGGGGCATGGCTATTGTAGGCCCTTTTCCTCCCGCAAGGTCGGGACTCGCGGGAGCCTCTAGTGGTCCCCGACGATTGCTCTCTCCCTGCGACCGTGTCCCCTCTTCCTCCTCCCCGCCGGCCCGAATCCGGCACTCCCAGACCAGAGTTCCCCTACCTAGCGACTTCTGCAGGCCGAGTCTTGAAGCAGGTTCCTTCGGCTACCCTCCCTTTCTCCTCTCCTGGTAAGCAGTAGACTCCTGTGGGTGGAGCCACATTCCTGTCCTTGGAGGACCACACTGCCCCTAAACTACAGGACAGAACTCCTCATCCACCAGCCCCGCTCCAAATTGAGTCTTGGTGCCGTTTTTCCAGAGCGTGGAAGTGCCCTCACCACCTTTAGAAACGACTGTGTGTATGGAAGGTTCACATGTGAAAAATTGCTAGGAAAAGGCCCTGAGTCTGAGGGTGCTTTCCTGTGAGGGTGTGGCAGTCCAAGGACTCAGATTGCCTAAACCTTCTGGATCCCGGGCAACGTTTTCCTACCTAGGCTGCCCCTCAGGCCAAGGATAGTCTTTCTCCTGATCTGTGAACTGAGCTCCAGGGATCCCAAAGGGGAGACAGAACAGCCAGTGAGACAACCTTGACCTTTGGAAGAGCAAAGTACCTGCAGGACTGGCTTTCAGCAAGGTTTGCCTCATAGAGGAATGGTCCAGAGGGCCGTTTGGCCAGCCAGCCCTCTGGCACCATCTTCCTCTCTCTGTGGTGGTGATGTGAGCACAGCTGGCCCTTTAAGGCAGCTCTGTGGCCTCAGGCTCCCCTGGAGGCCCTCCCAGCTTGGAAACTCCTAATTAAGGTGCAGAGAGAAATGAAAAACAAGCAGCCAGGGACTGGCCTTGCCTGAGAGGCTGCCCAGAGAAGAGGGATGACTGATCAGGCTGGGAGTGAGCAGCAGAGGGGAGGACCAGAAGGGGTCATTGCTCTGCCCCTCAGCCCCTCTTAGGACAATCACAGCTTTGGACAGGAATGTTGCCAACATGAGTCCCAAGAATACCCCTCTCACCTTGATGAGAATCCAGCCAGGACTTTCCCATATTCCCCAGGTTCTCTGGACACCTAGGGTGCAGGATATCAATTCTAAGAATCCCCTGAGTCCAGCTCCTTTCAGGACACTGAGGCCCTGCTTTAGCTCCAGTTGCAGCTGAAAGTTCCAAGGGAGAAAGATCAGCTCCCTTACCAGGCACCTCACCCCTTAAGATCTTTTCCTAGGTAGAGGTGGGGCCCATTGATGATGGAAGGCCCCCTATCCTCTTATAACATTGCCCCACAGCCTCTGTGCTGAATGAGTTGCCCTGGCCATTAGGAAACCAGGTGATTTCCAAGGGAACTAGATATCAAGGACAGATGTGAGCATGTCCCCCAAGACACTGCAGTGCAAAACATTGGGGGCTGCCATTCAACTTGATCCAAGAACACCTCCATCTGTCTGTGGGGGTCTCCCTGCCTGAGTTACTCAGCAGTCTGAGTAATTAGTGCCTGACAAGAAGGCGGGCACAGTGCACCCCCACATTATACCACAACACCCGCCTACAGTCACCCCCACCCCTGGCTGGACTCCAAAGCAGCACCAAGATCTCCTGAGGCTTGAAATAACTCTGTTTCTCACACTCACGCCCAGCTCCAGCCGACTTTGCCTAAGATGCTGGAGTTTGTGGGGTATGGGATCATGGGGAGGCAGCTTGAGGCGGTGGCAGGAGGAGTAACACACCCTGATCCAGGTCTACATTTTGGCACTGATCTGCTGTATGATACTTGAGCAAGTTGTTCAACCTCCCTGGGCCCTTAGTTTACTTATGGAAGAACTCTGCAAGCTCTCAGTGTCATTGAGTTCAGCTTTGGTGTCAACCTGGCAGGGCTCAGGCAGGGTGTGGGGTCACCCCAGCCCTGCAACTGGTCAAGGCTAAGAGAAAGAATGCCTCACCTTCTATTGCCACCCCAAGATGGACTCATCTTCCTAATCTTCAGAACTTTCTCACCTCCAAGCATTTGCACAGTCTCTACTGCCTGGAATGGCCTTTTCCCTTCTCAGCCTGTTGAACTCAGCCCTCAAGACCTAACCCAAATGGCACCTCTTCTTGTGAAGCCTTCACTGATGGTCCTTTACCCCCGCCCCAGAGCTAGCAGACACTCCTCCCACACTTTGTATTTTCCCCTGTCACATTCTAAGACAGACTGTGGGTCTTTCTTCCCCAACTATGACATAAGCTCCTGGAAGTCCAAGCCTATAGTTAGCTCACACTTGAGCCTCAGTACATTGAATGCTTGTGTAAGTGAATGAATGATACTGGCCTTCTTTTTGACCTTCCTATCATGCCAAATTTTTCTCCAAGGAATCACACAGCGCGTTCTCTCAAATTAGATCTCTACTTAGATGTCATCTGCTAAGAGTAGCATTCCCTGACCCCTCATGTCAGCTCCAGAGCAACAGCCTGTTTGCTTTTCTTCAAAGCAGTATCTTATCTAGACTTTCCCGGTTTGGTCCCTAGTAAACTGTGAACTCCACAAATGCAAGGATCTTGTCTTTATCATTGGCTGAATCCTCAGGAATAGTAGTGTCCAACATATGATAGACTCTCAATAAATGTGTCTTGAATGAGTGATTTAGACCACTCTTTTTCCTCTCCCAGGACCCCTCTTATCCCGGGCCAGTAGGGGGTGCCGGCCTCCGCTCAGGATCTCGGCTAGCCTGAACATTCTCTAAGCTCAGCCCAACTTGTCCCCTGCGGGACCAGCTTTCTAGGTGGTGCCTCCTCCATTTTCTGCGAATCCCCGGGCGGGGTCTGTGTAGATCGAGGGAAATCAGAGAGGCCCCCTAGGCGGAGAAAGCCCATCTTAGCCACACATTTGTTCTTCCCTCTCTAGGGTTTGCAATTAGGCCTTCTCGAATGCTTGCTGCGAAGTCTAAACCAGTCTGGGTTTAGACATGCCACACCTCCCTCTAAAAAGTATAGTGTCCTGGGACGCGGAATTCGTGGGGGCTGGATCCGCCGGAGCTGTCCTGGGCAGGGAGGAGCCGTCGAGCCTCCAAAGAGGAAGCAGAGCAGGCCAAAGAGGAGACGGGCAGGGGTGCGGACTTGTGATGGTGGGGGCGGGGGGCTCTGGGAGGCAATCTCGTCCCAGTCGGTCGGCGAGCGCACGCTTCCAGCCGCCCGGCTGGGTGACCTCCATCCGCGAAGGGCGAGCGGGCGGGGTTTGGGCTGCGGGTGCGAGCTCCAGGAAGCCCACGGGGCGCATAAGGCTTTCGAGTGGTCGGATCACCGGCCCCAGGGCTAGGGCAGGTACTTGGACTGACGCGGGTCGAAAATCATCCCAGGGGGCGAGCGCAGCGAAAACACCTTGGGAGGCGGCGCGGTGCAGCTGAGCGCCGCTGCCCTGGGAATAGGACGGCGCTCAGCACCGCGAGCTGAGAGCACTTTCATAAATTTTGTATGGGAGGCGCTCGGTGAGCGGGGGCGGGGAGCGAAGCAAGGGGGAGGGAGCTAGCGAGCGAGCGAGGGAGGGAGGGAGGAAAGGTGGGGGAAGCCGAGGGGGAGGAAGGGAGGCGCCCCGCTCCGCGGATCGCTCGGTCCTGCAAACGCGCGCCGGGCGCTTTTCCCGGAGCTCGGCGGTGAGTGCGAGCGCCCTTTTGCAGCAACCGAGGTGGCGGCGGCCCGAGGGGGCGGAAAGGAGGGGGCAGCGGCCAAGCGGCCGGGGGGCGGCGTCCCCTTTCAAAACCGCCTGCAAAGTGCTCTGAGCTTCAGAAGCAGGCCGCCGGCTTCGCGCTTGCCCCGGGGCTGCCCGAGCGCGCGGGGCTGCCCGGCAGCG